ACACACACATAAAAGCTTCATTTGTAATAGTAGACATTTTGAAAGAACCTACATGTACTTTACTAGGGGAGTTCTTAGAAGAATTATGTTAAGAATATACAAGGCTACAGAATATGCTGCCTGACTATTAAAAAATAGTGAGGTGACACTTATGCACTGACACAGAATGCTATCCAAAATATTAAGTGAGAAAATGCAAGTACGACTCAATTTGCTTTAAAAACACACACACACACACACACACACACACACAACAAGTTTTATTAATGCAGACAAAAGGGATATTAAGGCTGCACAGGTCTCTACACAGTAGTCACCTCTATCATGTTTATGACTCCTTTGGCATGAGACTATATTTAGTACCTACACATTTTGCAAAAATATCTAGGTACTATTTGTATAATAAAAACACAACAAAAAAAGTTAACAAAGAGATCCACACGCACATTAGCAGCCTCTCGGGACAGCAGGCGTCTTTCTGGTAGGGGCCAGGAGGCTCTTTGGCTTTAAGTATGAATTGAGAGTGTGCTGTTACAGGGGCTATGCTCTGAGACCCTAAATATTAGCCCATTCTTATAGGTGCCCTGAAAAGAATCAACCAGCTTTGCTGTCCAGTACATGCTGAAAAGAAGCCTAAACGTATTCCCAAAAATGTGCCTAAATTTGGGCACAGCAGAGCAGATGACTTAAGCCCTCTGGCTGCCGATTCACATGGAGAAAGCACAGGGGAAACGGTAACCAAACACGCAGGATCTGAAGCAGCTGCCGTGATATCTGTCCTTTGGCTCTCTGAGGCTGGCCCAGTGCCTGCCTATAATGACAGCAGCAGAATAGAGCTAGCCCAAAGGGACCAAATCCCTCTGTGGCCGCCCGCTGGGAGGGCAGCAGGCAGAGACAGCTCCCTGGCCAGACTGGACTCCCTTTCCCAGGGTCTCCTCACACACCAGGTTAGGGCCCCAGGGAATCATAGCAGCCCTGAGAAGGCCTGCACTACACACCTTTTCAAACGCCCCCCAGAGCATGAACCCCATTTCAGGAGTCTGGTCTCCTGAAAGATAGCCACACACTCAGAGAATTCATTTCTCCAATAGTTTGGGTAAATACTGCTAGAATTTCAGAGCTTGGAGGCCACACAGTCGAGTTATGCTTGTGCTAGAGGCCCATTGCACAGGTTTGTGCACTAATGAGGTTGCTCAATCGGGGCTGGGGAGGAACTGCAGGAGGACTCCAGATCAGCTGGACCGCAGCAGAAAGCTAACCTACTGGTCAGAACATCTGCCCCCTGGAGATCAGTGCGCAACACAGTGACTGGTCAAACGGGTTGGTCAAAGGAATAGTTGGATACTTAGCATATTAGTCTTTTATTATATAGGACTAGAGGCCTGGTGCATGGAAATTCAGCCCAGCTTATCCCCTCACAGTCCAGGAGCCCTTAGTGGCGAGAGGTGACCCAGCAATCAGGGGAAGGTGATGCTCCCATCACACCTCTGCTGCTGCTACTGCCAGCAGCACAAGCCTCGGCCGGCCCTGGTTACCTGAGCCTCAGGCGGCCCTGCATCTCGGGCGTTGGCTGGGCAGCTGCCATCTAAGGCTTGCCTATGCCTTGGGAATCGACTGGTCAGCCACCATCTGAGGCTTACCTGCACCTCAGGCCAGCCCTGGGTGGCTGGGGGACTGAGGGCAGGTCCAGCCACACTGTGCGCCTGCTGCCACCCTGGCTGGGCTGAAAGAACTGGGGGACTCCAGTGGGGCTGAGGGGACTGGGCGCTGCCATCTTTGTGACAGTATGATGGTCAATTTGCATATTTCCTCTTTATTAGATAGGAAGATTCTCACAGAGTTGTCACCCAGTTATGTCCTAAATCTCCCCCACCCCAGGGTGAAACGTGCTGCCCCTCTAGAGGCATTTGGAGACAGCTGAGGGTCCTTCTGCGGCACAGAACTGTCTCCCTGCAGCCTCCACCCTAGGCCATTGTGAGCTGCTGTGGAGGTGGATGGGCCAGAATCTCCATGGAGTGGACTCACCTGCAGCTACCACATGGGCACCCCGCAGAGCCTAAAGGCCCACTTGCTCGCCTGCCCGTCGGTCTCTAAGGCCTGGGCAGGTTCTGTCCTTCTTTTCTGAAAGGAACCCAGTGAACTGAACTAGTGAGAAAATGAGCCAAAGGCTGAGAAGAAACTTTAATAGGACACCCAGTATAGGTGAGAAGGCCACAGGGACTGGTGATAACACAATGCACAATGTTCGACAATGAAAGGCTACCCCAGGCACCAGAGGGGCAGGTGCACCTCTCAGGAGAGGGAGGATGAAACCAGGATTAAAGTTTGCAGGCCTATTTCACACCCTGGGCCAGTGCTCCTTCCCCACAGTGGTGGGCAAGAGCGCCTGCCTCATTTGAACTACTCCTCTCTCTTGTTGTTGTTGTCCTCCTTTATTGCCTTGTTTTTGTACAAAAGCTTAGGGTGCACAAAACAAAATGTTATGTGATGTGACCCCACTGTACCAACTCCAGGTGCTAACCTATGCCCCTCTCTCTTCTCTCCTGAGCCTTTCTTCTGGCTTTATCTGGTGTGTACTGAGCTTGACAGGTCTTCCCTGATCCTGATGGCTTCATCCCTCATGCCTGTCCTGCCCTTGGAGGTCCCGAAGCATTGGAGGAGAGATGGGAGTCTGTTCAGCAGCTCTTCAGCCAAGTCCCCGCCCACCTTCACCGGCCTGGTGCTTGGAGCTCTATTCTCTCTTGTCCCTGAATCACACACTCACACACAACTGGATGATGTCACTGTCAGCATGAATGGTCTAGTGATAAGCTGGATAGTAAACTCCTACAGGGCAAGCAGAGGACACTGCCTCAAACTCCTTTCATGTCCCCTCCACACCTAGCATTGCTTGCCCACAGCCTAAAGCCACTCCCTTGCTGCATCAACCCACTCTCAATGCCAATGAAGTGCCTCTCACACAGCCCATCAATGTGGATGAGTCTATAGCATTACTGGTGCAGGTTCCCTAGGATGTAACCAACTCCTCCATCCCAATCAGGTGCCCAAGACCGTTGCTCCTCCATGACAGAGACCATGACTCATGTACACCAGGTCCTCGGTGCCCAGCACGTGGTCCAGCCCTCAGCGGGTGTACTCATACTTAAGGAGTGCTTGCTGCAGGGAAAGACTATCTCCAGCACCCATGCTAGGCGGTGGTTTTCCTTCCTGCTGGGAGCCTCAGCAGCCAGCCATCAGGAAGGTGGAAGAGAATGCCTACCCAGACACAGGGAAAACGGCACACATATTTTTCCACAGCGAATTTGGCAACTTCCTGAGTTGAACAAGTTAGTGTCCAAATCAAACGCATCATAACCCTCTTCTAACCAACGTTTCCCTCCATTCACTATTTCCTTCAACAAAAACACTACTCTCCCCTCACCCTGGCCTGCAGCTTTTCCAAAACTCTGACCTGTCTCTTGCTCTTCATGGCCCATTAAAAATGGGGTACTCAAGTGCCGCTTGATGCTCCTCCATCTCTCAGAAATCACCCCTTCCCATCCTTTTCCTTCCACTCTTGGTCCCCAACATGCACAAGACCTCAACGGATGCCCCATCTTGAGGCACCCAGCCTCCCTAACTCCACTCCCCCCTCCTTCACATACCCTATATGCTACCATTGGGCTATTATTTATTTAAATGCTATTTTCAAAGAGTCCATCCTTTGCTCAAATAAGAACCTCATGCTGAAACCAGTTTGGCTCAGTGGATAGAGCGTCAGCCTGCAGACTGAAAGATTCCAGGTTTGATTCCGGTCAAGGGCATGTACCTTGGTTTCGGGCACATTCCCAGTAGGGGGTGTGCAGGAAGCAGCTGATCGATGATTTTCTCTCATCGATGTTTCTAACTCTCTATCCCTCTTTCTTCTTCTCTGTAAAAAATCAATAAAATATATTTTTTAAAAATTAAAAAATTAAAAAAAGAACCTCGTACTGTTTAAGCCATCAAGTCTTTACACCTGTTCTAAGCGTAAAGAACACTCTCCTATTCCAGGAACCCTGACTAATTCTGCCTCAGCTTAGGACCGCCACTGTCCCTCCCCCTCTCCCCCCGCCACGCCCCCCCTTCCCCCTTCCAGTAACATGTAACATCTTTTGCCGTCGCAGCATGTTGGCAAAGCTCTCACCTCTGCTTATCCAAATCCCTCCCACACTCCAAGGCTCAGGCCCAACCTCTCTCATAGCTCCAGCTCCACCAGCCTCTGCACCCCCGCCCCCACCCCCACCTGTCTACAGCTGTCAGTCACACACGCTTTCCCTGATGACTCAAACACTTTCTGAAAGTCAAAAGAGCTGAGGTGGAAGAGCATACACTTTTCAGCCACCTGACCCTGCCCAAACCACCAGATTTTCGAATCTCACAGAACTGTTATTATGATCAAGTGAGAATTCACACGAAGGGGACTCATGCATCTCATTCATAATAAGAACATCTACCGCGGAGGATGTTAGTATCTGTCTATTACCTGCCAGCTACAGGTATATCCTATCATTACTGCAGCCCCCAAGTTTCAGTAAATATCAATTAAAATAAGATAACAATGGGATAAAATAACTTTTCACGGAGCACTTGTATCCATATCCAACGTCCAGCCACGCAGGCACTTCTCTGGCACAAAAATCTTAGGTGACAACACGAATGCGTGCAGGGGACAAGAGGGGAGACAGGTGTTCGGGTCAGAAGAATGGAGATGGACGAGAGGCCACGGTGGTGATCAGCAGGGCGCAGGAGACACCACTGGGGACTAAGGATGCGAGCAGGGTCCACGGGGCACCCATGACGTCCCCGTGGACAAAGAATGCTTCAGCCCAGAAAACCGGGGGGAGGAGGGAGGAGGCTACCTTTCCGCCCCACGTTCTCGCAGCTCAGCAGGGAGCACCGCCAGGGGCACCGGGTAGGATCCCTTCACTGGGCCCGGCGCCTCCCAGAGCGCCGGCCCCGCCCGGCCCGGCCCTACCCACCGATGGAGATCTCCTGCGCGTAGGCCAGCGAGATGAGCAGCAGCGGCAGCCCCACGGCGATGTACGTGACCATCTTGTCCACGGCCAGCTCCAGCCGCAGCCCCTTGAACTTGGGCTCCGAGGGCTCCTTCAGCAAGAAGTCCGAGAACACGTACTCGGTGGCCAGGTGCGCGATGGCCATGGCCGCGGCGCGCCGGGCTAGGCCCGTCAGACCCCCGAGGGCAGGCGCGGGAGCTGTCGGTGTTGGGAGCCTTCACGCCGGCCCCCGGCCCCGCCGAGGCTTTCGCTTTCCTTTTGCCACCTCCGCCGGCGGCCTGCACACCAGCCTTTGTGGCTCGGCGCGCGCGGCAGCCGGCGCCTCTGCCGGGCGCACGGGCTCTGCGCGCCCCGCCGCCGCCGCCGCGCAGACCCGCCCCCGCGCGCCGCCGGGCCCCGCGCTGCTCCGCTGCCCCGAGGCGCGAGAATCAACCCGGGAACAAGGCTCTCCGCTCCAGCCCGGGCCCCGGATCCACTCCGCCCGGTGGCTGAAGCTGCTCCCGGGCCGGCCCGCGCGCTCTGCCGGCTCAGCTGCGCTTTTCCGGAACCCGGAGGCCGAGGGAGGACCCCGGGGGCGTGGAGTTTCCGGAAACCGCGGTGACGCGGGGCGGAGGGGCAAGGCAGCATCCCGCGCCCCGGGTATCTGCATCTCCAAAGAGATCTTCCCACCTTAGAAGGACCTCAGTCTGATCCTCCTCGCGCTCCTCCCGTCCTCCTATTCCCATGTCTAGGCATCCGGAAGTTTTGGAAACATTTCTGAAAAGCTAGTTGCCCCTTACGCGGTGCACAGAATGGCCCACTTTTACATCCCACCCGCAACATTTCCACCCGGTGATTGAGGTTAAAAGGAGCTGCTGTGAATGCTTCAGAGAGCAACAAGGCAATCGCGCGGTGTAGTCTGAGCACGTGGGGGAAATGGGAGCCCTGGGCCCTTCCAGGAGCTCTGAGTAGCCCGGAGCACAGGGGCCGCGGTGGCGAGCCCTGATGTGACTGGGTCTCAGGCCTCAACGCTGCTCAGTGGAGCTTCCCCTGCGTTCCTTGTAGGAGCCTTGGTCTGGGAGCCTGCGGAGGGGTGACCGAGAATGAGTAGATGTTGGGTGGGGCAGCTTTGGAATCACTTACAGAAAGTGGATGCTGAGAAATAGACAGGAGATGCTCTAACCAGCAACATGGGAGCAGACAGGACCTTTAAACATGATGTCTTCTTGGAGCCGGGCTGGACTGCCCTTTGCTGTGTGTGTGTGTGTGTGTGTGTGTGTGTGTGTGTGTGTGTGTGTGTGTGTGTGTATGGAGGGGGGTGGGGGAGAGACAAATGGTGGCGCCCATGCACACAAGCCTCTTCTATATGTTCTCAGTTCCCACATGTACTTCACTCTGGCCTGCCCTCTGAGCACTCCTCCAAGGCCCTACTCAACTCTCCACTTGGATGCTCACGGGACTTCAAACTCATAATGGCCAGAACCGCAATCCTCATCTTCCTCTCAGCCAGAACTCCAGTCTTCTGCATCATGCTAATGCATCACCACCCACCCATCTGTCCAACACTTCCTTCTCTCCCAGCTTCCATAACCAACTTCCAAATTCTCTTGCTTCTGTCTCCTAAATATAGAAAATGTGGCAGTTCTCTCTCTGCACTTTCAACACCCCAATTCAGGCCATCAGCCTCTCTCCTAACCACATAGGAATATATCCCCTAGGCCTGCAAGCCATTCTCTCCCAGCTGCCTGAGAGAGCTTTTAAAAACTCCAATCTGATCATGTCACCTCCCCCTTCTTAAAGTGGATGTTGCTTTTAGAATCAAATCCAAATTTCTTAGCACGGTCACTGCCTGCCTCACCAGCTTCACTACTTCCCATACAGCTCTTCAAGTTGACCAGGCTCCAGGCCCTTCCTTGCAAAACATTCCCACGGTAGCCTTTTTGCCTGTCCTGCTCCTTTTCACCCTCTTTATCTCAGATAGAGGCCACTTGTCCAGGAAAGTCTTCTCTGAGGTCGCTTTGTTATATATTCTTGCAATACGGGCACTACTGGTTATTAGCTGTGGGCCTTGGGAAAGGTATTTGACTCTCCTGTGCCTGCTTTCTCATCTACAAAGTGTTCATACCTCTTATGATTGTGATAAGGATCAAATGACTTAACCTATACAAAGTGCCGAGGACAGCTGACGAGTGCTCTATAAGTGTTATCTGTTATTGTTGCCCTCAATTTTTCCTTCTTAATACTAATCACAACTATAATTCCAACAGGTATTTGTTTAACTTTTCATTAATGTTTGTCTCTCCGTTTATGTGGTAAGCTTCATGAGGGCAGGTCCATGCCCAGGTATACCACTCTTATCTCTAACACTTAGCACAAATGCCTTGCACATAGTAGGTCTTTTAATAAATATTTGTTAAGTGTATAAAGGAATCTGAAATATTTTCACCATGAAAATTGTTTAAAAACAAGTAAACAAACTTACACTCATTTATCCACACATTCGAGGCACATGTTAGAGGCCAGAGATGGGCCGGTTCTGGGCTTGATGGATAGGGAAGCAAAGATGACATGGACACATTTCATTCCTTCAAAGACCTCATGGGTTAGCAAGAGAAATAAGGCATATGCATAGTTAACTATAATACAAGTTGGAAAGAGTAAGTGATTTTGTGAAAGGGTGGGGTGTGCCAAGGAGGGGGGGGGAGTTTGCTTAAAAGACTGAGGCCTAGGATGGTAAGTCTGGGGCAGGCAGAGCTGGGACAGGAGCTTTCCAGGAGTGAATGAAAGCGTGGATGATGTGACCTTTCTCTCCTTGTCAAAATTGACACATCTAACAGGCTCACATGTCCCCTCTTCTGGAAGCCTTCCTAGGCCCCCAGTTGTGATGAATCCCTCCCTCCCTAGCACTTTCTCCTGGTCCAGCTTTTTGCTCATTTTCCCTTGTGTGATGGTGGGTTGCATCTCTGCTTTCTCATTCCATATCAGGTTCCTCTGAGGGTCTGAACAGAATCTGCAGTTGTGTAAATTGCCCTCAGCCCTGGCAGAGTTTTTTACATTTAGCAGAAAGTCAATCCATGTTTGTTGAGTTTACCATAGAGGCAGAAAGAGAACTTGTTAGGAAATGGGAGGTAGGGACATCTAACACTGATAAAGGAAAGACAAAGGTGAGGAAGTCAGAGATGAAAAGGATGGGACCAGAGAAGGTAGTGTGGCCTTTTTTCCAGCAAGTATTAGGGAGTGTTTGGAGAGAAGTAATGTAGGTAGAGTTGTGCTTTAAAAAGGTGACTCTGCCAGCCACATGTAGAGTGGATTGGAACACATATTGGAGGTGGAGAGACCAGGTAAGAGGCTGTTGAAATTTTGCACACGAGGGGTAGTGAGAGCTCAAACTGGTGCCCTGCCTTTGAGGACAGAGATGAATGACACAAAAGAAAGTGATAGTTAAGGGAGCCATTTTTCCTACTATAAAAGAGATAAAATAATCTGACGTGTGCCAAGGTTTTGGGGGAGGAAAAAGAAAGCAGCTTCAACTCCTAGGTTTGCCACTTACTTGCTATGTGATCAAGGATGTGTCACTGGAAATCTGATCCTCAATTTCTTCACTTACTAATTAAGGCTAATACTGCCTACCTCCCAGTGTTGTTCTGAGCATTACATGTGATAATATATGTAACAGTTCCTGCCACATCACGGGTGCTTAGCATTATGATAGCTGTCATTAACCTCAGAAGTTTAAGGTGTCACACCAGAGTGTATGTAACATTGCTTTTTTTTTTTTTAATAGACTTTAATTTTTAGAGCCATTTCATAGTTACAGAAAAATTAAGCAGTTGATACAGAGTTCCTATATACCTCCATTCCTGCACCCATTTCCCCCTATTATTGACATCTTATATTGATGATACATTTGTTACAATGAATGAACCAATATTGATACATTAATATTAATTAAAATTTCCTTAATTTTTACCTCCTATCCCTTTTCTGTTCTAGGATTCTATATAGGATATCATGTTATATTTAGCTATGTGGATGAAAATTCATAATTCTAAAATTAATATGGGTTAGATGGGTGGGAGCTGCCAGAACGGGCAGGCAGGTGGGTTAGAAACAAACTGTAGCTAGAAGAAAAGGAATGATCAGTGAGGGGACTATTCACTTAGTGAATGAGATAAAATAAGCTAAAAAATAAGTTGACTCAAGTTTGTGCATTTGTTGTTTATTTTTATATTTCTGGTGTCGGCAACTGGGGAATTCTGGGTTTTTGCAGAAAGGAAAAAGAAAGTGAAATGGAAAGACACTGCAGGATATTCGCTGGGAAGTGATGTGTCAGATGTGGAAGAACACTGCTGCAGCTGTGTGGGCTGAAGGAGCAAGAATGACAGGAAGAGGCTGGTTAGGGGGCTGCGGCAGTGATCCATCCTGCTTGAGCAGGATTTATGGTCTGCAGCCTTACGAGAAGCAATTTATTGTATATAGATGTTTTTCAGATCCATGAAGATGGATGGAATAATCTATGGAGAGGACTAGATCAAATTACCACACATTTGGTGGCACACAGTTATTCTCTTTGAGCTCTGGAAGTCTGAAATCAGTTTCACTAGGGTACAATCAAGGTGTCAGCAGCCATGCTCCCTCCCATGGTGAAAAATGTGTTCCCTTGACTTTTTCAGCATTTAAGGCAGCATTCCTTGGCTTGTGGCCCCATCCTCCTTCCCAAGAGCCAGCTGGGAAGAATTTTGCTTCGCAATGCCTTCCTCTGCCTCTCATTTAGAAGGACACTTGTGATTACACTTATGGCCTATATGGGTAATCCAGTATCCACTTCTCATATTGACACATTGTGGACCAGTGGTTTTATTGCTAGCTTTACCCAGTGGCCAAATAAGTGTCTATTGAACGATTATAAAAAAAAAATTACATAAATGTTAAAGGCACACTTTAAAATTAAATGCCCATTGCATTTTGAAATTACCTATTACATGTTCTTACAAGCTAATATCCTTTTAAAGAATTTTCATGATTGTCCACAAGCCTTAGAACAGAAAAAACGAGAATTCTCATGATCCATCCGCAATGTGTTAAGATCTTTAACTTGCTCATAACTGCAAAATCCTTTTGTTTTCCATGTAAAGTAACATTCACACGTTTGGGAATTAGGACAAA